AAAAAAAAAAAAACAACAACTACTGGACTAAAGCCGGGGCCCGATCTACTTGTCCCTCATGACAATCTACTTGTCCCGATACAAAACATTTTTTAATCAAAGCCATTTAACTAAGGTTTTTATTGATAGCAACTTAGAAGACAGGCCCAAAAAGTACTGTAATTCAATCAACAAAACACAAAAGTAGATAGTGAGCCTGAACAGAACAGATTTCCAAATGAGAACTGTAGCTTACTTTATCAAAAAACTTAAGTTAACAGAGGTACCCTCATGGACCATTATGGACATGCTTGGTTATGCTAGATGAGCTTGAACTAAACATTAAACACATAAAGGCAAATGAAATAACAGAGAGGCAGTCTCATGACAAGTACACTTTAAGCAGAGACAACCTCATGAGGCCTCTTATGTCCACCCACATGCTTGGTTCCGCCAGATGTAGGCCAATACTGAATAGCTGTGCTGGGGTCATATTCCTCATATTCAGGCCCCTCCATTTTAATGACCATGAGGTCCTGCACCATACCCTGCTGAAGTCTTGTTCCAAGTGGGTTTTTAACTACATTCATGCCAGAAAACACCCGTTCTGCCTCAGCTGTTGAAACACTGAACATCATCTCCACAACCTTCAAATATATTACAGAGAAGATGGTTTTGATAGCGGACTTTTCTTCAGCCGAGAAAAGAATGCTGTACTAATCCAACAATTCTTTAAGGTCAGCTCTGCCATATGTATATAGGTCCTCTCTGCCTTCTGGCCATAGTGTGTAGTCAAACACTTGGAATCCACGGGATGGCATAGAATCAAAAATGGAGAATCTTTCATCAATGTAATCTACAATGTTTTCAATGAGCTGTATATTACATTTGCTAGCAGCTTGTGGGTACTGGCCTGATAATTGAATCTCCCACCCCTCAGTAGATTGATCTCCAAATTTTCTCTCTGGGTGGTACAGTCTATTCAACTGCTTCATGTCTTCCCCGGGATCAAGCATCAAGCCAGTCTTATTGCCCATTTCTCAAAAGCAGGCTCCACATAGAGTAACAGAAGGTCATTTGGTGGAAAAAAATTCTGACAGCCGAGATACAGGCTCAAGAATATCTCTCAAAATGTACAGGGTAGAGAGGAAATTCACACTTGATTGATTTGAGATATTTCCTTGCTTTAGCTGAAGACTCATCGGTCCCAGCACCAACTTGGCCAAGCTATAACACAGTTTGCAGGTTTTGCTGCATTGTTTTTAGGGCCCTTTTTTTTTTTCTTGAAACCCTTTTTACTTGGTTAATGTCACTGAAGTGAGCAAAACTTTGTTCTATTACTTTTGCAATTTTTCACCTTTTAGGGCTATTCTAGTAGAATTTAAAAACCCATTTCGAAGTTTCTTCCAAACAATGTAAGGAGTGTTCTTTACTGCATCTAGAATACCCAGGTTGAAGATTGTGTGCTGCACAATGTACAGGCAGCAGATATGGAATGTCGTTCTTGATCAGTGCTGCTACACCACCTTTTGAACCCATCATTACAGCAGCACCATCAAAATTTACAGAGATAAGTGTTGGACCAGGCTGTTCTGGAGACCTCAGATGTTGCATATCCAAAGACAGGTGTTTAAGACCTTTAACAATTGGATCTAGCACTGCTGCAGCATGTGCCTGCTCCACTGGGGCAAGGTCTACAAATGCTCTAAGGTTTCCCTTCATTAACAACCCTGACCAGCAGTTTCCTGTTCAATTATGGCACTATCTGTGCTGCCATCTGCAATAATACAGATAAATCTTGAATGTCTGACAATCTCTTTCATGTCCTGTCGAATTATTATTTCCGCTTCACATTTGATAAATTCGGCAGCTTTCCACGATTAGTCCCCACCCGCTTTTATCATTGCTCGGCATAACATATCCATGTCTGAAAGAGGATTCCAGTGTTTTGCAATGAAGTATGCATTGTTAAATAACACTCTTCCTTTCTACCGCCTTCAGTTTTTGTAGTGCTTTAACAATAATGGGCTGCGCTGACTGAACTGCAGAACTGGCACTGCAAGTTGCTGTACTTGCTGATGCCTCAGACTGCACAAGTGCTTTTTTATTTTCTTGTTTGAACCACGAGCAGCATGTCATGTGGACTTTGCTTGTTTCATGAGCTTTAATTGGTTCAGTGCAAAATGTATCACAGCCACATACAAAGGCATTCCTACCAGATCCAGAGTGACTCTTTGCTATGGTAGGGTATTTTAAGCCAATTTCACAATACATCTTTCCTTCCCCCGGCTCTGCTTCAAAACAAGTCAAGGCCAGGAATCTTTCCAGTGAGGTTGAAGTGCTCTTTCTCTTCTCTGTATCATACTTTTTGTCTCTTGATAGAGCAGAAGGATTTGAGCTTCTACTATCACAGGGGCTATGACTGAGACACATTGGCCCCATCTTGTTTGCTTGTTTTGTTAAAGCCAAAATGAAGACTTTGTGATGACATGATACACTTTCACAAAAAAACGGCTATGAAACCTGCCTTCCTAGGCAAACTGAATTCTATTCTTAGTAGACCTGCACACTCCGGGCTTCTGCATCCCATGAATCTGAAAAACTAATGAGATTGTTGGATTTCACATTTTTCCTAGGGGATCAGCAAGGGACAGAAGTCTGAACAAAAATCCTAAATTTCTCATTTTTAAAATTCCAACACAAAATATCACAAGACAAACTAAATATTAGTTTGTCCTACGGTAACACTCCCTTGACAAAAAAGGCAGAGCTACAAGCATTTAACCATACAGTTGCATTGTAACTAAATGACATGCTTGTGTCATCTTTACACAGAAAATAAAAGCCATAAATTACTTAAACACAAAATACCGGTATGTAGTTAGCGAGTACCGTTTCTTTTTTTTCTCTGTCCCATTAGGGAAGCCTTACATGCCACACGGTTTCCTGATTAGCATGGAAGCCGGCTCCATGCTCCCCCGTCACCAATCAGGAAGCCGGGCACTCAAGCAATTGCTGTGGCCACATTAAACTCTAAGGGCTTGTTCACGCCAACTTACAGTGCATTTCAGCACGGTTAGCTGCTAAAACGCACTGTATTGCATACTAAACTCCCTCGGTGTATTGAAGTCAACGGCACCGCAGCCACGCCCCTCACCCGCAGTGCGATCGACCGCACTGGAACATGTAGTACACCAATGCCTGCGTTCCGGTCCAGTGCGATCAGAAAAAAATGCTGCAAGCACTATTTTTTCTGATCGCACCAGAACGCAGGCGTTCTATCAAAGTTTGTGACTATGTTGGAATGTATGACCGCTGACATGGTCACACATTTTAACGTAATCCAGCCCAGTTTTACATTGGTGGAATGTGTGACCACCCATTAGGTCAAGCACTCCAACAGCTGATCGGTCCTCAAATGTCACTTCTAGCCGATCGTGCCGGAACGCACTAGGGCCAGTGTTAACAAGCACTTGGGGCCTGTTCACACCACAAAGACTGCATTCCAGCATGTTCGGCCTCTGGAACGTACGCCAGCTGGCTCCCTTAATTCGGGGCGTGGACAGAATCTAAATGGTGTGAACGAGGCCTAAACGAGAGCCAGTTCACACCACAAAGACTGGAACAGAAGCCAGCCGGCTCCATGCGTGAGGGGGCGTGGCGGTGCATTGAAGTCAATGGCAGCGTAGCCATACTCCCCGCAGTGCGATCGCCGGCACCCAAACGCATGGCACATTAGTGCCTGCGTTCAGGTCCAGTGTGATCTGCATAAATGCTGCAAGCACTATTTTTGCAGATCGTACTGGACCGGAACACAGGCTCTGATGTGCCACGCGTTTGGGTGCCGGCAATCGCACGGACATGAGTTTGCAATAAATCTACGATTTGGATCCTATAAGGATTATGGTGCGCTGGTGACGTTTCTGCAAGTAGCTCCATCATTTCCCCATGCCGTGTTACTACTCCACGCCCGCCCCCCTCGCTCTGTCACCGTGGCTGCATCCCTGCTCCACGCCCCCAGCTCTGTCATCGCGGCTCCATCGCCAATCCACGTCCCCTGCTCTCGCTCCGGTAAAAGAAAAAAAACCAACCAAACATCTCAGCCACGCTACTTGCCCGCAGCAGGGCTAAACTACTGAAGAAACTACCTGCCCGGCGCCCGGAACTGCATGTCCTGTACGTTGGGCGATACGATTTCCACAACCCTGATATCACTTACATACATTGGAGCTGGGGGGCTCCTGGTAAGCATGAAAGAAATCTAAAAGCTATGTAAAGACATCACTAGGTGGTGATACTTTAGTCACAAAGCCAGTGAAGTTTATTTTACTGACAAGCGTACAGGGATACTGCAAACAATTTGCATCAATTTGATTTGAAAATGTTCTTTTTGTAGTTATAAAATATTTTATATTAATCCATCTTTGCGTTACAAATAATTGAATACTAGATTTCCCCATGACTTTGGAATCCCAGAGCGCTAAGAAAGGATTCATACTGTGTTAAAGTACATTGCGCTAAGGCAGCCAATTCAAATTGAACGGGTTTCCGATGCACCAAAACACAAGCAAATAAAACAAAAAAGTGCAGTATTTGCATTGCAGTGTGAGTACTTTGCCCACTACAATATTAGCGAGTTGGGTGCCATTCAGAATAAACGGCACCGATTCAGACCTGTGTATTGTCACAATTCACAAATGTCAATAGGCCCCAAGGATTTTCAACTATTTGCCTCCAAGCTGCTTGAATCTGACTGAAACTTGAAGGGAGATGAATCAATGCCTGTAAGGTTGTTTGAGCTATTGAGCTTTATAAAAACACAGCTTTTCCCAATAGGAGTTCCTGGAAAACATGAAAATCCAAGAGCTCCACCTGCTATTAATAAGCATTATTTCAGTTTTACATGAAAAAATGTTTTTCTTTAACCTACAAATATACACAATCACTATACGTTCCCTTTAACATTTGCTGGCAAAACAAGTTCTGTAAAAGCCAAAATCACAGAAATGACAAATGAATACCTTTAAACTGCATCTCCCATTCTCGAACACTTTCCATTTGCACAGCATTGAGGTCTGACAGATCATCATAGTCATCTCGAAGTGCCTCTTTATCAAGGCAAAATGTTGCAAGTCCTCTTGAAGCATCTCTGCCTGCAAATATCCCATATGGTCCAACTGAAAAAGGAAAATGGCCCATGAAACAAATAGACAAAAAAACTATTAGGAACACTGTGCTGATTATCTTGTAATATAGACAATTATTCTCAAGGAAACATTGAGGAGCTGGGTTGGGCCCTCTCAGTAAACTTACTACAGCATGAGGTAAGGCCGGTGTTGAGGTATCTGCATAAACAGGCATGTCTGTGCCATATGAACATGTACACTTGAACATAAAGTGAATTAATAATCTGTTAGTTTAGAAAGAACAAAGAAAATAAATTAAAAAAGAACTAAAGCCAAGCTGTTTTTTTCACTTTTCTTTTTTGGTTTTACTTCTCTTTTTGGTCACGGTAGTACATTTACTGATACCCACTCTAATCTGCTTGGTTAGCAAACTTGGTCTCCATAATGTTTGTTTAGATGTGTTCTCCCCAAAAAAAAATAAAAAATAGGTCCTTCAGGAAACAGGTTCATTTATTTTGAAACCTGCAAGTGACACTACATTCAGGAGTTAAAGTGACATTAAACCCTCAGATTTTTTAACATAAACCAATACTGTACTGTGTGCCTTACTGTAATCCATGGTTGTTTCCCTTCTCTTTGCTGCTCTTCCTTTTAAATCCTCATGTCTTCTCATGCTTGGGGAGAACTTCCCTTTGCAGCTGAGTGCCTCTTCCTGTAGTGCTGGCTCAGGTTGCAAACCTATACAAACCTATACACAGACACCGTGTATCCATTTCAGAGACAAGGCAGTCTGCTGCAAAACAGAAGTTCTGCCCAGCATGAGAACAGATACAGATTTAAAAGGAAGAGCAGCAAAGAGAAGGGAAACAACCATGGATTACAGTAAGGCAAACATTACAATATTGTTTTATGTTAAAAAAATCTGAGTGTTTGTCACTTTAAATTGTAAAAATACATTCAAGTACCTTAACTAGTAAGAAAAATGTATCCTATTTGTGTATCACTCAGCTGTAGATCCTCAAATCACCTCTGAACTGGTGCTGATACTGTCCTTCCTTCTGGAGGGTGGCTACTTTTATTCCCCATGGTCCCTGTGTGTGCTGTAAAGAATCCACCGCTCCAAGCACACTCCTATGATAGACTATGATGGAGATTGTAATCCATCATGAGAGCGAGCTTGGAGCGGTGGCTTAAATTGGACATAGGTGAACCTCATTTTATATAGATCTAACATAGAATGGAAACAAGTGTGTGTGTTGGGGGAGACTGGGAGCAGGTATTCAACCCACTCAGAGGGTTGACAACTTGCAGCGGCTGAGGCGCAGTATTTCAACACATGAGCAGCCAGAAAGGTCAGATAGACTGCCTCTTTTTTTCAATGCAATTATTTAGTGACAGGGTCACTTTAAAACTCAATACCGGGTTGTAACACTGCAATATGTGGACAGTGTATGTATAGATAACATTCCATAATAGATAATATATAACACACTTTGATATACTGCTTGAGGAATCTGTATAATTTATTCTGCTCTGTAGATTCCTTTGGTCATGAGCAATTTAATGCATCACCAAGTTAAAAATTGCAGTACAAAGTTCTAAGGTCTAGTAGTCTGTGCGGAGGCATATGTTTTTATTCCCATGGGTGATGGTGTTCTGACCTTCTTAGCACTGGTGAGATGTTGGGAGAAAGATGTTGTGAGTAAACTGTAAATAAGCCAAGATAAGAGCATAGTTTCAAATTGTTGCATCACATTACTGTGCACACATGATTTGCTGTTTTGCCAACAAGGAAATGATAGACGTCTCAGAATTATAATACAGACACAGCCATCAGAGAATGCTGGAAAATGAATTCCATCATACGCAATTACAACATGAAACATATATTTTCTTCAAAAAAGGAAACCAAATAGGATTTTGTAGTGGCTCACCAGTTTCAACAAGCTTGAAGTAGACATTTCCCACAATCTAGTATCAATCAGTGTGGAATGTCTCCACCCAACTATTCTAGAACCAAAGAAAAATGTAGGAGCAGAGCGTTGTGAACACTGCCATAATGGTCGTCACAGAAACAATGCCTGTACATGACCGCTGACAGCTAAATAGTAATTCATGTACCCAGCACCTCATCACCTCAGTGCTGAGGGGAATCCCACTTCTTTAAACTGTTCAACATTCATGAAAAGATCTCATTCATGAATTAATAGACAGTTTAGTTCTGAACAATCTGCATAGAAAAGTCTAGCTGGAAGTCAAACATGTAACCGTGCAATCTCCAATTTACAGTCCACTATATAGTGCTGGGCCTTCATAGAGGATATCCAAACCCTCACACCAAAGAGGGACTCCAATGTACAGAAACGTAAACAATGACTCTCTTATCTGCTATCTTTTGGTCTGTTAAATATACAATTGAAAGTGTTTTGTTATAGCTTTTCTATTTCTGCAAAAAAATACCCATTGATGGTATCAGAAATCCAGAGCTGTCCAGTGCACACTTCCTGTGTTATCTCAGGGAGTCCTTCCAGTTCTTATCTTCTACTACACAACAATTAGTCCCTATGCTGTGGAGATTAGAAGAATGGGTCAAATGTAGTAGTTTAAAACACAAACTGGACAGGACTGACACCAGGTCTTGTGTTTTAAGGCCACAGAAGAGCACATGGTGTCATTTCACAAGAGGAAATTAGCAATGAGTGCATTACTGACAAACCCCAGGTTTCTTTCTGTACTTGGAAGGTCTTTAGATGGTTAACAAAGGGGGAACTGTGCATGTATTGCAGAGAAGCTCAGCAGATGTTTTGTTTCTTTTCTCCCAGACATGAGCTTTAAACTTAAAAGGAGATTGCACAATGGGATTATACAGTGCTGGTAAATTTAGAAACTCAGCTGCTGTATCTTAGCAATATTTATTTACATAACATATATGTAATTTGTGCCGCAGGTCAGGTTTACCCCTTCAAGTACATTTGCAAGGTCAGCACCAAATGACTTTCCATACATATAGACTGGTCATGCTATATCAAATTCAAACATGTCAGTGTAGATACATAGAACGCGTCCAAAATACACAATTGTAATCCCATTATGATCAAGTCATTTTAGCTCAAATCAAGTGATCTCTATCACTTTCCCCCCAGTATTATCCTCAACTACCCAAACCTAGACTTGTCTGGTGTCACAGGTAGAGAGGATGTGTCTTTACAGCTTTCAATATAATGACAAAAAATACCGGCGCCTTCAATTACAGGGTGCCCAGCAATTGGATGCAGCGAACACGAAAGAGGCAGCTCCCATAGGTCAGATTGACCACCAGTCTAAGAAACAAGGAACAAAAGAAAGCGCCTCCATAGTGTAAAAGAGTGATTTAATAATAAAAACACGCAGCTCTAAGGCTGTACTTACAACAATTCAGTTGAATAAAAACCAGTGGAGTAGGTTGACAAGTCGGAACCTCTAGCGTTTCACCAGCGTCCTCTATCTCTGTGTTAGCAAAAGGTTTACGCGTTTCTGGGGCACGCCCCCTTCATCAGAACCTCAGAACCTTATCACTCCAGACTCTCCCTGCTAGAGGTTCCGACTTCTCATCCTACTCCACTGGTTTTATTCAACTGAATTGTTGTAAGTACAGCCTTAGAGCTGCGTGTTTTTATTATTAAATCACTCTTTTACACTATGGAGGCGCTTTCTTTTGTTCCCAGCTTTCAATATACAGGTGAAACTCGAATAATTAGAATATCGTGCAAAAGTAATTGCAGTAAGTGCTGCAAAAGGGGCCCAAACCAAGTACTGAGTACATATGCATGCTTGTACTTTTCAGAGGTCCGATATTGTTCTATGTACAATCCTTGTTTTATTGATTGCATGTAATAATCAACTTTTTTGAGGTTGTGGATTTGGGGTTCTTGGGGTTTTCATGAGCTGTAAGCCATAATCATCACAATTATGACAAATCACAGCTTGAACTATCTTGCTTTGCATGTAATGAGTCTATCTCATATATTAGTTTCACCTTTTAAGTTGCATTAGTGAAATAAATGAACTTTGCATGATATTCTAATTATTCGAGTTTCACCTGTATACTAATAGCACCAAGACAATATGGACATTCTCTTTCTGTGTGAAGAAATCTAAAAATTACACTAAACTCATAATTTAAAAGCTCAAAAGTGCATTCAATTACCTTAAAGTGAACCATTACCCCCTTTCACTAAAAATCACATCTGCATGCAAATATGAAATTCTCTTACATTCATTAGCTTAAAAAATATGTTTTCATTTTACTTACAATTTCTTGTTTCTACTTCCTGGTTCTCTTTGGTAAAAGTGATGTAATGTACCCAAGTGTTGCATCTAGGGCTGCAACAACTAATCGACATAATCGATTATTGAAAAAGTTGTCAACTTGTTCAATAATCGATTAAAAATGAGATCTCAGGGAAAGGCATGTTCCTCCCGAGATGTACATGGCCACATGTCCTAGTCACATGTGCCAGAGTTCCAGGAAGTAAAGGTAGATATATTAATCTGCCCTTAGTAAAAAATTGCCACTTTAAAAAGACTGGGGAAGAAAGAGAAACAAGGTATGCAAAGAATACTTCTAGATAATTGCAGGCTTTGTACCCGTTTGTAGATTGTCATTACTAAACAGCTCTAAAAAGGTGCCTTTGTTGTTATTTTGAAGATATCTGTAAAGGTCCACTTTAGGTATTAACAAAAATGTATCTAATTTGTGTATCACTCGGCTGTAGTTCCTCAAATCATCTCTGAATTGGTGCTGACACTGTCTTTCCGGAGGGTGGCTACTGTTCCCCATGGTTCCTGTGTGGGTTGTACAGTAGCCACCACTCCAAACTCGCTCCTGTGATAGACTATAATTTTAATACAAATTAGCCAACTAAAAGGTGAGATTGTAATCCATCACAGGAGTAAGCTTGAAGTGGTGACTACTTTACAACACAGCAAAAGGTTTCCCAGCACACTCACCAGCCAGCATGCAACAAAACCTCTCTCACCCCTAAGCTTAAAAACAGAGATTTAGATACACGTCTTCTGCAGAAAATGTGAAAGCCGCACTGCCGTGCCAAGGCACCTCTATATAGTGCGGTCCTAACTCTAAACTATGAGAGTCTCCATCTTGGAGCACATGTGGCAAAAGATAAAATTGGGTGCAGGTTTGTCAGGAGGAAGCCCAACCTCCTTAAAAGGCATAGGGACCACACACACACACACACTTGTTTCCATTCTATGTTAGGTCTATATAAAATGAGGTTCACCTTTGTCCAATTTAAGCCACCGCTCCAAGCTCGCTCCAATGATGGATTACAATCGCCATCATAGTCTATCACAGTAGTGAGCTTGGAGTGCTGGCTACTTTACAACACACACAGGGACTATGGGGAACAAAAGTAGCCACCCACCAGAAGGAAGGGCAATGTCAGCACCAATTCAGAGATGATTTGAGGATCTACAGCTGAATGATACACAAATAAGATACATTTTTGTTAATAGTGAAAGGTACTTGAAAGGAGTTAAATCTTAAAAATGCAAAGTTTAGTGTTACTTTAACTACTCGTTGGCAATCACCTTATTTACAGAACACTGTGCTGCTAACAAGGGGATTGTCAGCATTGACTTGTAGTATTCTTTCTCAGAATGCAAAGCATTCCGAGACTGGAGGCGGCGCATCCTGTCATTCATCCGCACCATGCTCCATTCATAGAACACTTTGTATTCAGGGAAAGAATAGTACGAGTTCTGTGAATGGTAAGAGATGGTGATTGTTCTCAGTCACAGCCTCTGCTTGAAGATCAGCACTGTGGGGAGTATCCAGCATCAGCAAAGGGACGTTTCTACGCGCAGCAGCAGCCAGCAGGGCCTGGGACTACATTAGAGGTTATTTATGTCTGGTGAACACACACAAATAATTACAAAATTAGACTGGAGTTCAGCTTTAATAAATCTGTAAATATTTGAATGCCCATAGCCTGACTATAGTCATAGTTATGACTATAATGAAAGAATGGAGCAAACTAAGGAACACATTTCCTGCTTAGGACTCAAAAGGTTGCAGTAGAATACTTCTGTAGTAATACAGATTGAGGGGAATTTATCAAAACTGCAGCAGACAAAAATCTGGAGAGGCTGTTTCTAAATTCTATGGGAAGCCATTTGTAGTCCCTGTGACTCCTAGACAGGGAAACACCCAAATCTTACACTGTACACCCCTAGGTGCCCGTGTCCATGAGTCCTAAACACACGTACATGTTTGGACTTAAAAACTGATCTAGAGGAATGGAAGAATTATTTTACAGATCTGACCGTTTTAGGACTCATTCACACAGACATGCAGAAACCTGATCCCGGGAGGGAAGATTGTACGAATAGCCGCATGCACACTGCACCCAAGGACGGGAATCCGCACTTGTACACATGTGCAGGTTGGCATGTAGCCACATTTTGTCGTTTGGCTTATCAGGCAGCAACACTGAATAGCTGTCCTTTGCGGGCACACGTTTGTGCATGGAGACGCATGCTGTACTGCTGTGTGAATGAGCCCTATCTCGTCTAAACAGAAGCACTTTTTTCCCCAGGATAGATGTCAGTATTTTATTACACTAGAGCCCCCTCAGCGCCCATTCACACCTGATTTATTTGTCATGCGTTTTCCAAAGTGCAACAACACTCAGCATGAATTTAATGCCCATTATATTCAATGGTGCCCATTCACATCGGAGTGTCAGGCTGCCACTCGTCACATGAACTTTTCTGGCCGCTGTTTTTGTGCACTTCTTGCTTGCCATGTTGGGGAAGGGAACGACGATGACAAAGTACAACACACACTTTTCGTGAGCATGCACAAAATCATACAATTTTGCGCATCCACACACGGCACATGTGAATAGGGCCTCAATGGGCTGCCCTATGTGCAGCAAAGAAGCTCATGGTCCTTTCCGTGCATGCACAGTTCCTATGTTTTTGCACATGCTCATGATACAAGAACTGTGTGCTGTGCACATTCACACCATAGCGTTGTACTAAATGAACGATACAACACATTGGGTGTAATTCATGAAAACTGGAGCAGGCAGTTTTCTTATGGCAACCAATCCGCTTATCTCTACAGTTAGTTTCAATAAGCTTTAAAAATGGAACAGATTGGTTGCCATAGGCAACTGCTCCATAGCCTGGCTTAACAGTGAATGGCAGCACACGCGCAACACAGAGGGAATTTATTAAAACTGGAGCAGGCAGAATTTGGAGCAGTTGCCCAGAGCAACCAATCATTTTCTCTCCTCAGTTTGTTAAGATTTGAAAATGAAATATAGAACCCGATTGGTTGCCATGGGCAACTGCTCCAGGTTTTTCATAAATTCCCCTCAGTTTATACACGCTTCGTGAACGAGCATAACATCACAGGATCCTGCGCACGTTCATGTGCTCCACTAGTGTGAATAGAGGGCTCACTATGTTACTCCCAGCAGATTCCACGCTGACCCCAGCTCTCACCAGGCCCGTAGAACTTGCTCCCCTCTGTCACGTCGAACACTTTGCCGTTGACAGCCAGCAGGATGCGGGGGCTGTTGGCGCCGTCATAGTCTCGCAGTTGCTGCAGGGTGAAGTCTCTGCGCTTCATGCGGGGTAAAGAAGAACGCGACCGGGTCCCGGCCCCCCTCCAGCGCCAGTACACCCGCCAGGCCCCGTACACCAACACCGCAAGGAGAGCCGCGTTCAGCAGCAGCGTGCACACACAACCCAACCCGAAGCCTTCTCCTTCCTCTTGGCCCGACTGGGCACCAGCCGACTGCTGCTCCTCCAACCCCTCCGACATCACCCGCCTAGGGTTCCTCCCGGGTTACCACTGGACTACACCCGCCGGGAGGAGAACACGCACAAGACACAGTCGGGAAGGCTCAGCCCACAGACACACCGCTCGAACACAGCAGCGGGGACAGCTGACGCTACTCCCTACAGTGACGGTTACAGCCAGGCGACAAGCGGCGCTCTCAAGTGACGTCATCCAGGCGGGAGAGCGACATTTGGAAGTCAGAGGAAGGAGAAAGGGGCGGGAGAGGAAGCTTTTTTTTCCAATGAGCTTTATTATTATCACAAAGAACACATAGCAGGGGGGCACGTGATCATGTTGTTGGTTTATTTCCGCAGTAAAACGGGAGGCAAAATGGAGCACTTGTCTGAAACAACCAATCAGGTTCTTTGTTTCCTTTTCCACACAGTGAGAGTGCAAACCTGATGGTTTTATACGAGAAGCTACACTTTTGACTCAACATTCAGCCCCACTTAGGGTTGCCACCTGTCCAGGATTCACCCAGACAGTCCAGGTTTTAAATGTTTTGTCCGGGTTTCATGGAAGTTGAGACCCGGACACATGATGTCAGGCAGACAGGCAACCAAAATTAAGATAGGGGGGCTACTGGCCCCCCACTGAAGATAATCTCAACTGTGATATTTACATATGAATATGCCACAACTCATTCTCCCCAAAAAATGTTTGTGTGTCGCTGGAGTGTTCGGGTTTCGATGGAAGAAAAGGTGGCAACCCTAGCCCCACTTATAGATTGTCATACACTGGTGAAAAAAATAGAAATGAGGAAGCAAGGGCTCATTGGAGCACAAATCCAGGTGTATTGGCAGGCAGCGAAAAAACACCGCACACGGGTATACATGCGTAAACACTGGTACTGGTGCTTGAACTTGCATTGGTGTTTGCGAACTTATGCCCATGCGTGTGTACACGCCACTGCTACGTTTATGTTTGTATAACTGTGTACAGCCTTTTCTGTCCATACAATCCTATGCGCCACAAATACAGGCATATTTTATAGCCATGCCCATACACATATTTATTTGTATCTGTGCACATGAGCCCAGTGTTAACAATAAAGTGTCAGTAAATGCACACACACATTCAGTACCTAAATTCTTAGACATCTTGGACCTTTAAAATGGTATTGTCAGACAGCACATCCTTTAAAAATAGTGTACATGTTCCAGAGTTTCAACTTGCTTTATAAGGGTGACTACATCTACCTCACATGGTCAGGTCATAAGATCAACTACAATAATCATACTTCCCAACTGTCCCTCATTTGAAACCAAATCCCTGTGTTCCTCTTTTCTCCCCATTTTCCCTTTTTTTTTGGGGGGGGGGTCTGATTTAACTACCAAAAGTGTTATTCTACAATACATTCTTTATCTTATCTCTTAATTATCTTGTTTGCTATTTAAAAAAATCAGTATAAAGGAAAAGTAATGGTGAAAAAAACAATTCTGGGTTCAACTATTAATTTTTGGCACATTAATTCTTAAAGGAGAACGATGGGGTAAGTGTTTTTCCCCATAGTTCTCCTAAGGGTGACGGGAGGACATATACTAGCGTCCTCCCATGACCCAAAGCTCAGTATATCGCGAGCTACAGCCAGCTTTACCCGCTCCGTCCGTTCCTCCAGTCAGCGCTGGAGGATCGGAGCGGGGAGGGAATCCCTGCAGGGAGCCGTGAGTGACAGTCACGGCTTTCTGCAGGGAGATGTACGAGAAGTGACCGAGCGACGGTATATGTTCGCTCACTTCCCGTTCTATTGAGCCGATGTGTGACAGTTTCATTGTCACAGGTCGGCTCGAACTATGAGGCGGAGTGAAAATCACTCACCTCATAGTTCTCCTTTAATGGTCCGCATATCTAGGGATGTGGTGGGGTGTCCATTGCCTAAATACATTGTTTTGGAAGGCGTCCCACTTTCTTTTATCAGAAAGTTGGGAGGTATGCAATAATACATGCCAATGCATCCAGCGCCGGCATGTTAAAGAACGAAGAAAATGCCCATTCATAAAATTTACAAAACAAAAAGAGGAGCATGTTGTGACAGTAGCGGCCATCCCGCAGTCATTGTACGTCACCCCCACGTGACTATACGCAGTTCCGATTCAACTGAACCATCACAAGGGCATGACAATACCACTACCAGCCGCAGGATAAAAATCTAAGGTCAGCAGACTGAAGAGCGATTATCACTGGACTTGGTTAGCTCCGCCTTTAACCCATTACACACCCAAACAATAGATGCCACCACCTGTTTTAATGGAAATACACACCATTCCCAGCAAATGCTGTGACAATTCAAAGAATGTAAACAATACTTGTGATTCCACTGTCCCTTCAGACAGGAATATGACAGGTTTTATAATACGGTAACACTCTTCATAGTGACAAGGATACTTTAGGTTCTTATTTAGAGCGTAGAGACAAGTTTAACAATTTAAAAAGATCGTTTTTGATAAAAGAAACAGTGCAGGAAAAATATACAGAAAACGATGTTACAGAGAGACGGAGATAACAATAGTAAAAATAAAAGGGAATAAAAATGAGAGTACTTAACAAGTCCTGTTTTTTTTGTGAGTTCTAGCAGAGTCCAGACAATGAAACAGAAGAAAGATCTGGATAGGGCACTTCTTCAAGTAAGGCTTGCAAAGGTTACTTCTTGATGTTCAGTGGAGCTTTTCTTTGGTTCTTATGTACCAACATAAGGGCTTCCTAGCTGCCTTCTGCAGCAGCTTTTTATTGGGCCCTCTAGGGGGTGTCGCTGAGCCGGCCCCTAGTCCAAAGAAGAAGAATTAGAAATTAAGGCTGAGCATTTTTGATCTATGCTGCCCTTCCCAAATTGTCCATTTCAGACATTCGAAAATGGATGAAAAGTTTGACTTGTTTTGTTCTGAATTGAAATTAGGACATTCAGATGCATCCGAGTTTCCGAATGACAGAAATAACGTATCCTAATTTCCAATAATGAAAATTTCGGATGCATCCTAATTTCTTTCCCAAATGAACTTTATTGTTAAACATCATTTTTTTTTTTAAAGCGTGGAGTTCCCCCCCAATTGATACCAGACCCATTAGGACTGGTGGGAATGTTAGGGGGACCACCGATTTTAAAACAAATTGTGGGGTTCTACTCAAAAGTTATACCAGACCCTTTAGGGTGAGCCCAACGCCAAAAAAACAAACAAACAAAAAACGTGGGGTCCCCCATAAAAATCCAAACCGGCCCCTGATCTGGGCACTGGCCTGGCAGGGCAGGAAAGGGGGGGGGGGGAGTGAGCGCCCTCCCCCCCTCTCTGTACCATACAAGGCCACATGCCCTTGACATAGGGAGGGTGCTTTACCGGGGGAACCCTCGGAAAAGCACCTTGTCCCCATGGCGATGAAGACAAGGCACAACCCTGGCCTGGTGGTTGCAGGGGGCTGCGGGCAGGGGGGCTTATTTGCATCTGGGTACGCCTTTTCATAAGGGGGGCACCCAGATGCCCCCCCTGTGAATGAGTAAGGGGTAGTTGTACCCCTACTCATTGGGCAGCAGAGTTGTCAATGATAGTAGCACTGCTCCTGAATGCTGTTCTGAAGCAGAGCTAACATAATGACTCATTATAATAGCTCTGCTTCCGAATCCGAAAAGCATTCGGGAACTTCAAGCATTTATGTTTGCCTGAAGAAGGAACCTCCTATGGTTCCAAAACGTTGCTACCATGTATGTTTGGAATCTGAATAAAGGTGTATAACACGTTGGACCTTGGTGTGCGGGTGACTACGTCATAGTACTACAATAAGAAACTATTTTTTTTATCCAATGTAAATTTGGTCAGAAGTTTCATCACTTCACAGACATATTGTGGAGGAAAACAAATATTAGCAATTAGCAATACAGTATATTTAGTGCAATACAATGATATGTACAAAAATACATACAGTATCTACCTTTAGAATCTATCTCTTTCTGAATACAGGTCAACTGGTTATAAGTACACTAACTGCAAGAGAGTATGAAGAATAACAAAAATGTACAACCTGAGTGTAACTTATTCTTTGTAAATACTTCACTGATACCTTTATTAAAAAAATGGTTGTCTACCCCAGCAACCATTCTTAACTGTGCTGGACCAAACATAGCATACTCCACGTTCAACTTTTGCACATATTTTCTAATTGCCTGGAACATGGTTCTTTTCCTTTATGTTTCCTTTAAGTCCAAAGAAATGTTTTGAGAAATATTGTCAAAATGATGTGCTTTTTACAAAATAGTGTGTCTGTCCTGAAAATGAATGAGCCCCAATAAAATTGGCCTTGGTGATCCTCCAGGAGGTGGGGGTGGGTTGGAACCAGATGCACCCCTCTGCTGCAAAAACAGTAGAAAATGTATCTTTCCCATATACAGAGAGAATCCATTTCTCAATATACTTTGTTGTGTTAACCCCATTTAGTTTTTTCTGCACCTATAAAACTTTGATAATATTCCTATGTAGTTGATTGTCAGTATCATCCAGTTTGTCACTATTGGTGTTTAAGGCAGTGTACAGTATATCTTGTTTCAAAGGATAAGGCCTCATTCACACCAGATGCAGTGTGTTCCAGCCCGATTCTGGCCAGAACGTACTGTATCGCATTGCGGCCTGGCTCACTATGTGGTGGGGCAGGAGGGGGCGTGGCGGTCCATTGAAGTGAATAGCACAGTAGCCATGCCCTCCGGCTGCAATGCAAATGGCCGCATGGGATCGCAAGGCACATTATGCTTGCGGTCCGGTCCGATCAAAATGCTGCAAGCACTGACCACAGGCATAATGTGCCTTGCGATCCCATGCGGCCGATCGCATTGCAGCCGCACCCACAAAAAAGTGAGCCGGACGCAATGTGATGCAGTGCGTTCTGGCTAGAATCGGGCTGGAACACACTGCATCTGGTGTGAACGAGGCCTAAACCACATCTTCCAAATTATTCGTTCTGCCTTCCAGGGCCAAAATTCAGTAACAAATTCAGTTTTAAATCATGTCTGTTAAAAGTTATCTCTGCCCTGATTACATCAATTTTCGTTTTAATATGCAACGCATTAAAAGAACCACAATCTTGCCCTGCAACTAAAACATCTTTCAATGTACGCTCTTTCTCACCTTAAAGCTGTTTAGGAGTGCATGAAGAAGTGAGTATATTCACTGTGTCTGAGAATCA